GAACAATGAAGAAAAAAAATAAAGAACAATGAAGATTTTGTAAAATACTACACAACATGGACAAGTCTAGAGGACATTATGTTGACTGAAATAACTCAGTCACAAAAGGACAAATACTATGTAAGACTGTTGTTGTTATGTGCCATCGAGTTGCTTGCGACTCATAGCGACCCTATGTACAACAGCCCTAAACTCTGCTCTGTCCTGTGCCAATCGCACTCTAAGACTACTATTGTGAAAATATAAGGTAACTGTGGGAGGAGCAGAAATAAAATGTACAGGATAGGGAAAGTAGAAATAGAATACTGTAAAGGATCAGGACAAGGGACAACCAACTTGAAGAAGAATCGACTAAAACACAATATGTTGTTGTTAGGTGCTATTGAGTATGACTCATAGTGACTCTATGAAAAACAGATCTGAACCTTTTCCTATCCTGTGCCATCCTCACACTTCCTGGCACACTAGACCCCTACTGTTGCAGTCACCATGTCAACCCACCTGGTCAAGGGTCTTTCTCCCTTCAAAGCCTCATGTCCCTCTCCAAGGAATAGTCTCTCCTAACAACATGCCTAAAATATGTGAAGCTAATTCTCACTTTCTCTTCCTCCAAAGAGCACTCTGGCTGCACCCTTTTAAAGACATATTGCAATTAAGAAAAAGGAATAGGAGATAGATATATAGATATATATATAGATATATAGATACATAGATACATAGATACATAGATACATAGATACATAGATACATAGATATATAGATATAATTTGTTCAAAAGTGGAAAGGTGAGAAAGGGGGCAAAAGAAGAAAGGGAGGGGAAACCAACCATTAGGGCAGCAGAGATTAGTGGACAAATGAGGGGTGAAGGAATAGTCAAGGTGTAATGGGGACTTTGCTAAATGTCGATAGTTGTAGAGGGGCTTCAGGCCTTTTGTACATAGAGTTTTGCTCAACTTGAAGGCAATCAACAACAACAACAATAGGGACTTGAGGAGTCAAAGTGATAAAAGGCTTTGATCAATAGTAATTATATAAAACATAATGCATATGAATGATTGTATACATAGTTTAAAAAATCCAACACTTATGATCAGAGATATAGTTAATATTTGGAACACCAAATATATACATTTTTTTACTCTAGAAAAATCTGATAGCATAATTTAAAAAATAGTTTCAAATGAAAAAAAGTACTATCAGTATAAAATTAGTTTCAAATGGAAAAAAGTACTATCAGTATAAAATTAATGTTAGAAAATAGAATGGAATTAAAAGTTCAAAGAGAAAAAATATACAACTTCCAATTATGATAGCATAGCTTGATTATTCATATTCAAAACAGATGAGAATCATTACTGAATCACTATGGTGTTTAGGTTTTACTGAATTAATGTAAAGTCATGATTGTCAAAATTAACATTACATTTGTATCTATGACATTATATTGCATTCTGGTTGCTTTAGTGGGTAAGGAGTTGTGCTGCCAATCCAAAAACAAGTGGTTTGAATCCACCAGCTGCTCTGAAGAAGAAAGATGGGCAATCTCCCGTGTGATTTACAGCCTTTGAAAATCTGCTGGAGGGTCAGCAATGAATTGTTTCTGACTTGACAGCAATGAGAGATTGACAGTAACAATATAAAATTTTAGATGTCAATCTAAAAATAAGTGAAAAGTGTCACAGCAGTTCCAAAATACTTGAAAATAGTTTTATGTAAGCATGCAAAACCTATGTGTGTGCGAGTTATTGTTGCTGCTGTTGTTGTTAGATCCCCACATGTAGAATGCAACTCAGGAAGCCTATGAACAACAGGTTTGAATCTTATCCTATCCTGTGCCATCTTCATCATCTCTGATACACTTGAGCCCATTGCTGCATTCACTATGTCAATCCATCTATATGGAGGCCTTCCTCTCTTTCATTGACCCACGACCCTTCCAAGCATATCCTTTTCCAAGGAATAGGTTCTCCTAGCAACATGTCTAAAGTGTAAGAGATGAAGCTTTGCCATCTTTACCTCCAAGAAGCATTCCAGCTGAACCGTTTCTAAGACATAGATGTTCATTCTTTTGGTAGTCTATGGAATGGAAGGTGTATTTTGAATACTTACATACTCTCCTACCACATCGTTATCAGAGATGTATTGACACCCAGGCACATACACTGCAATAAGAGTTGCCTCCTTAGGTCAGCCAGCTCCTTTGCTATCTTTCCATCAGGTTTTGTGTAGCCAAACCAAAGCAAACTTATTGCCATATGGATGGCTGATTCTGACTCATAGCAACCTACAGGACATAACAGAACTTCCTTATCATGTTGCCAATGCTATAAATCTTATTGACAGCAGGATGCCTCTTCTTTCTCCTGAGTAGGACAGGGTTAAATTCTTTCTAGGAATGAGTCTAGGCATAACCACTAATCAACAAAAATATTATGGTGGAACTCTCAACATGTGATTTAAAATAGAAGTGATATACAATCACTTCTATTTTAAACTTACAATCATAAGAACTACAAGTGATATACAATCACTTCCTATTTTAAACTTACAATCATAAGAACTACAAGTCTGATTCCCCGCCCCCCGCCCAAAGACTACTTTAAAAGAATGAAATAAATTGTTTTCCACAATTTTTCCTTGTTTGGTTTTTTGTTGTTGTTTATTTTGGTGCTCCTTACATATGAGGTCACCATGGATTGGAACCAACTCCATAACAATGCATTTGGTTTGATTCAGTTTGCTTCCCTATTGGTGAAAGACACTTCACTAGTCTGCCTTTTGAAAGGAGCCTGGCATCAAATTTAGACCTAGGGTCAGGCTATGTAGCAATGAACCAGATAATTCAGTGCTATGTCCACAGCTCCTAATATTGTACTTGGTTTTCAAATTATGCCAAATTATCATTTATTGAGTTGGTAGTAGAAGAGCCCTCCACTTCCAGAATCTGTTGGCCTGGGCACAGTTCAAGTACATCTATGGATTTGTGCATGAAGGTGATGCAGGCTACTATGGCTAGTCTTCCATAGTAAGCAGTGGAAGGTACACAGAGATCTTTAGGTCCTTTGATGTCTGTTATTATTTTTTTTTTATGTCTGTTATTCTGTGCAGGTAAGAGAAGAGTTTCTCTTGCCCATACCTCAAAAGCACATTCCACAATCTCAGTTACTTGTTGCAGGCCAGAGAAAGCAAGAATATAATGGAAGGATACTGAGATGCTTCAAGTAGTTGAAGCAAGAGGTGGGTTAGGAAGAGCAGCTACCAGAGCTCTTCATCTCCTACTTCTGTCCCTTCTGTCATCATTTACTGGTGTGTAGCACAAAGCCCAAGAGCATGGTTGACATGACAACTGCTGCTTGTCTACTTTTCTTAAAGGATGGAAACTCTTCCTGCACCTCAGAAGAAACAGCATAGAGATGGCTGATTGGACCCAGGCATCCTCCCTAAGTTGGTTCCTAAAAACCAACTCCTAATGCTACACCAGGAAGCTTAAAACTCCACTTTCTTGAAGAAAAACGCCAGGTAATGTTTCATGCTAACCAAGGAGAACTTTGTTCTGGTAATAACCAGATCGCACAGACCCATAAGCTGGGCAGTATGCAGTAGGCTGAAGCTAGCCAGCACTATGAATGTAAAATGCACCCTGTAGTCTTACAGCATTGCTTATTTACTTTTCCTCTGACACACAATGAGACCGACAGCTGCCCTGGGTTGTGCTCTCTGGAACCAGCAACTAAAGCTGCTCTCCTACATCCTCAACCAGGCCCAAGACCTGAGCCACTTGTTCTGGGCTGTCTCCTCATGGGCTCCACGGTGCCCAATGCCCCTGGCTTCCCCATGGGATTCCCAGGAAGACCCCGAGTTCATTTCTAGCCCACACTGGCAGCTCTGCAGACCAATGTTGCGGCCCTTACATTCCTACCTGGTGCCCAACTCTGGGATTCTGCTAGGATTTCAGGGTCGTGGAACTGTGTCTTGGAGTTTAGGCTGCTATCTCAGCTACGAGAGTAGCCAGCTATAGGGATAGTCTTTCTGTGCCTTGTCGACAAAAACTGGAGGTTACCCCCACCCCTATCCCTCAGGCTGCTCAACAGCATCTGCAAGGTCAGAAGGCTAGCAGCCAAACCCTCAACCTACCTGTGGCTTTATGACCCTGAGGAAAAGAGGAGCAGACATAGATTTTGCAGTGCACTGGAACATGCATGCCTAGCAGCCTCTGGAGCTCTGCTCCTCTGGATCTGGTCTCTGAACTCTTTGGAGAAGCTCCATCCTCATGGAGAAAGACTGAGTTTGGGGTAAGAGGACAGATCTGGACAAAACGGGAGTACTTTGCAGCAGGAAAGATGGCTCCTGACTGTACCTCAGAACCTGTCTCTAAGGTAACATTTCACCAATTCAGAAACGTTTCTGGACTTAGCAAGTGCTCAATACTCAGCCCTGCAATACTGGAAAAAGCCTGCACAGATGAAAGGGAAAATAAGAAGGGAGGAAACGAAAGGCGATTGGAGCCGAGAACTGGAAGCTCCTTAAAGAGACTGCGCGGTCTCCGCCCTCCTTCCCACCAGCCTCAATGAATTAGAACTGTGTTTCCCAAACGTGCCTGATCATAATACTCTCAGGCCCTAGTTAAAGATACAGGTTCCAGTTACCGCCCTTAGAAATTGTGATTCGGTAGCTCTGCAAGTGGAGCCGAGGAAACGGTGATTTGAACACGCTCTCCCACGTGATCCTCGTGAACAAGCAAGTTTGGGAAATAATGAATTAAAGTAAACGCGGCTTAGCTGCAGAAACAACCTCCGCTAGGGGGCTACGACAGGAGGATTCCCGGGGGCGTCGCCTGCTTCCGCTGTCTTCTTCAGTAAAATTCCCTTTTGGGTCCAGCTGCTACTGCTACCACGCTCCCTCAGGCCGGGCGGGGGACACCCCGAGTTTTCCGTGGGCCCCGCGCCGCCACGCCCAGTGGCCTCCGCAGCCCTGAGAGCAGGGGGAGGAGTCGCCACCAGTGGAGGCGGAGGAGGTAGAGGAGGCGGAGACGACTGAGAGGAAGGTGCAGGCGGCGGGGAAGGTGGACGCCACTGAGAAGGTAGAAACAACGGAGGATCCGGGCCACCGGGTTGAGCTCAAACTGGAGCCAGCACCCGAACCGGTCCGGGAGGCGGAGCAGGAGCTGAAGGGGAAGCAGGACCTGGAGGATGAGAACCCAGCGCAGAGAGGCGGTGGCGGCAGCGGCGACGAGGTTCTTCCCCTCACCCTCCCTTCCGACCCGCCGCGGGCCCCCGATCCTTCCGCGCGTCGCAGTCGTGCTCCCCGACGCCGTTCCCGACCCCGACCCCAGACCCGGCTCCGTACCCCTCCGCAGTCTAGGCCACGGCCCCCACCCCGGCCTCGGCGCGGCCCTGGGGGTGGATGCCTGGAGGTGGATTTTGCCGTGGGTCCACCAAGCTGTTGCCACGTGAACAACTTTAAGGTGGGAGAAAACTGGAGGCAGGAACTGCGGTTGATCTACCAGTGCTTCGTGTGGTGTGGAACCCCAGAGACCAGGAAAAGCAAAGCAAAGTCGTGCATTTGCCATGTGTGTGGCACCCATTTGAACAGACTCCACTCTTGCCTTTCATGTGTCTTCTTTGGCTGCTTTACGGAGAAGCACATTCATGAGCACGCTGAGACAAAACAACACAACTTAGCTGTAGACCTTTACTATGGGGGTATATATTGCTTTATGTGTAAGGATTATATATATGATAAAGACATTGAGCAAATTGCCAAAGAAGAGCAAAGAGAAGCTTTGAAATTACAAGCCTCCACCTCAACAGATGTTTCTCACCAGCAGTGTTCAAAACCATTTCTTGGTGAGAAATATCTGACCTGGGAAACAAACAAGCCAGATTTAGAGATGCTGGGACACAACCCTCGGAGAAGAAGAATCACCTCAAGCTTTACTATTGGTTTAAGAGGACTCATCAATCTTGGCAACACATGCTTTATGAACTGCATTGTCCAGGCACTTACTCACACTCCAATCCTGAGAGATTTCTTTCTCTCTGACAGGCACAGATGTGAAATGCCAAGTCCTGAGTTGTGTCTGGTCTGTGAGATGTCTTCACTTTTTCGAGAGTTGTATTCCGGAAACCCATCTCCTCATGTTCCCTATAAGTTACTGCACCTGGTATGGATACATGCACGCCATTTAGCAGGATATAGGCAACAGGATGCCCATGAGTTCCTTATTGCAGCATTAGATGTGCTGCACAGGCATTGCAAAGGTGATGATGTTGGGAAGGCAGCCAGTAACCCCAACCATTGTAATTGCATCATAGACCAAATCTTCACAGGTGGACTGCAATCTGATGTCACTTGCCAAGCCTGTCATGGTGTCTCCACCACAATAGACCCATATTGGGACATCAGTTTGGACTTGCCTGGCTCTTGCACCTCCTTCTGGCCCATGAATCCAGGCAAGGAGAGCAATATGAATGGAGAAAGCCACATACCAGGAGTCACCACACTCATGGACTGCCTGCGAAGATTTACAAGGCCAGAACACTTGGGAAGCAGTGCCAAAATCAAGTGTGGTAGTTGCCAAAGCTACCAAGAATCTACCAAACAGCTCACAATGAATAAATTACCTATTGTTGCCTGTTTTCATTTCAAACGATTTGAACACTCAGCCAAACAGAGACGCAAGATTACGACATATATTTCCTTTCCTCTGGAGCTTGATATGACACCATTTATGGCCTCAAGTAAAGAGAACAAAATGAATGGACAGCTGCAGCTGCCAACTAATAGTGGAAACAATGAGAACAAATATTCCTTGTTTGCTGTAGTTAATCACCAAGGAACCCTGGAGAGTGGCCACTATACCAGCTATATCCGGCACCACAAAGACCAATGGTTCAAATGTGATGATGCTGTAATCACCAAGGCCAGCATTAAGGATGTACTGGACAGTGAAGGGTATTTACTTTTTTATCACAAAGATGTCCTGGAATATGAGTTGGAAAAAGGGAAAGAAAGACATACTCAAGCCTACTGAAGTGACACATGTAATAAAAGATGATAGCACCTATGCTACAACTGGTATCAAGATTTAAAGGACCTACTTGACCATGACCCATGGGCCTGACAGAGTAAGAATTGAACATTATCCAGTGTCCAAAAGGTCTTGATTGGAAGAAAAATAGGGAGGGACAAAAGTTGTAAACAGTCAATTAAAGGAAAATCAAAAGGCAGGAATGTTCTGGGTTGAGAAGGCAGGAGTAGGAAAATTTTGACACTGGAACATATCCTGTATTCCACCAGACAGTGGTGTAGGGTGGGAGGGGGGGTGGTTTGGGGGCATGTTTGTACCCTTGTAACCATAAAACATCTTTCTCTATGGGTATTTCAACTTCAAGTGAGCAATCATATAACAGTTACAAGTTTGAGGGGAAAAAAAAACTTATAAAATTGCAGCCCATTGCATAAGATGAGTATAAAAGTAGAAAAAGGAAGGAGGCAGGAAACACCTTTGCCAGTTTTTTTTAATTTTTGTGCTATTTAATGAGGTATTAACAAAAGACAATCCTACATGAACTAGTGAAAGGAAGAAGGGGCATGTACAAGGGGAGCAATTGCTCCAAAAGTAGACAAATATTGTAAGCAGTATACACAGACAGGCTAAGAGTATAGTGTATGGGTGTTTAAGACAAAGAAAACAAACAAAAACCCTAAAACGTTGTATAGGACACTCGAGCAAATCAATGAAACTCTTTACAATTGTGTTTTCATCTGTAAAATGAAAAAATTCCTACCATAAAGGGTTACTGTAAAGATTAAATTATATAAAGTGTGTCAAAGTACAAAGTAAAAGCCTTGAAACTTTATAGGTGCTCAGTAAACATTTATTGTATCTGTATCTAAAACTTTTTTGACCAGGACCAGAATGTGTCAGTGTCATGAATAAGTCCTACCTGAGTCCTATAAACAGAAAATGTACATGACACGTTGTCACACACACACACTCTCCCCCCGATACTACCTCTTTGGGTAAGAAAAGGAATGGATTCCCCTTTTGGCTCTTGTATACAGGACATCACCCAGGATGGAAGACAGAGAAGGGTGCCCACAACTGCATTCCAAAAGGTCATTATTTTGCCCTGAAGATAGTCATGTTGTTTCTATGACTCGGCACCTCAGTGATTTGACATGAGGGCCAGAAGTCTGTCATGCTTCCACACATGAGTATATTATCTGATGGCTTTTGTCTTCTAAAATCTAGTTTACTTGGTATATTTACACAGATTAATATGTACATAGATAATTGCACTGTTTTCCAAGACTCATTGGTCCATCAGAATAGGGTTATTGATACAGTGACTTGTTGGTCTCTCTCTGATTCCAACAGAGGGCAGAGAAGCCTGAGAGAGCTAAGCCCAAACAGATGAGATGAGCCCAGGATGGGGTAAGCACTGGTGATTTCTTCCTTCTCAGCATCAGGTGCAAAAGTACAAGCTTGGGGAGGGGGGCAATATCAGACCCAGGGGCTTGGATTCAGTGGCTCTTGTGAAAGACTTGACAACTCCACGGTTTTCTCAAGTTTACTGTGGTCAACTCATGTGGAAATAAATATTTACTAATATGACTACTTGTTTATAGACTGCATCCTCAATTAGCTCATAGAATCCTTGAGGACAGGGGTTGTGTTTCCTTTTGTAACCTACTGCATTCTCAGCACTTGGTGCAGCTCTTTGCACATGATAAATTGCTTTCAAAACATTTATTGAAAGGACGGGCAAAATTAACCTATATACTTACCTTTCATAAAATTTTAATCAACACCTAGGGTCCATAATCCTTAGGAGAAAATGAAAAAATTGTTATTTTTGGTGTCTTGCAGGATAGGTGAGGTTAAGAAATGGGTGCCTCAGATGATACTTGGTAAGTTGATGCAGTTTCTCTGACTACCTTTGAGGATATATCTGTTAGCTCCTCCTGGGAAAGCACAGCCCATGTCCTCATTTGTCTTCTCTGCCAGTCAGATTCTGCCTGCTTAAACAGAAACAGCCCTCTGTTATTTTTATCTGGAAATAACTTCAAACTTAAAGAAAAGTTAAATAATGCATAGAATATCCCTTTCCACAGATGCGCTTGTTAACATTTTACTGATTTGTTTTGTCATTTATGGGCATGCATAGATGGTGGTTGTGTTGGTGAGAGTGAGACTCATGAAAGTAAACTGCAGACAATATGGTCTTTCATGTATAAACAGTGTACTTTTCCTACAAATAAGCATATTTCCTTATGTTACTGTAGTGTTAATTGACAACTTTTGTAAATTTAATATAATGCTTTAATCTTCCCTTCATACTCTAGTTTTACTGTTGATCTGTCCAATAATGTTCTTTATAGCAGAAGCCCTGGTGGCTTAGTAGTAAGAAATTGCACTGACAATGCAACAATATTCAGTTTGAATCCACCAGCTGCTCCATAGGATAAGGATGGGCATTCTTCTCCTGTGCAATTTACTGCCTCTGAAAACCCACTGGAGGGTCAGCTATGGATTGGTTCCAATTTAACAATACAAAACAGCAGCTACCGGATCTGATCTGGGGTATGGTATTAGTTTTCTTAGGCATCTCTCTTTTGAAACATCATTGCATTGGCTTTCATGACATTAGCATTTTTAATAAAATATTCCTTAGTTGTGTTTAGCTGGCGCAGAAACTGCCTTTTTAATACTCTGCACTCAGAAATAGTTCTAACGGGAACTAAGATGAATTGCATAAGACTGCTGAACTTGACATCCCTGTTGGGGGTGAGGGGTGTCTGTCTGTCTGTCTGTCAAAAAATACTGCATTTATTTTCTGTAGCATATTTTTAAAACTATGACTACCATGTTGTTGCTGTGGTTGTGGTTGTGCTGTCAAGTTGTCTGCGACTCATAGTGACCCTATGTACAACAGTCCTAAACCCTGCTCTATCCCTTGCCAATCTTATTGTCCCCAACATGCCCATCCTCATTACCCCAGTGACGGAATCAGGAATCAAGCCATCTCATCAAGGTTCTTCCTCTCCTGCACAGTCCCTCCACCCTTCCAAGCACAACATCCCTCTCCAAGGACTGGTGCCTCCTTGCAACATGTTCAAAGTATGTCAGATGAAGCTTCAGAATCCTTGTCGCCAAGGAGCAGCCTGGCTTCACCCTCTCCAGGACAAACTTGTTTGTTCTCCCAGCAGTCCATGGTATATTCAATACTCTTCTCCAGCACAAAAACTCAAAGGCATAAATTCTCCTATCATCCCTAGTCATTTTCCAGATCTCTGATGCATAGCATGTAATGGCAAAGACCATGGCCTGTATCAGGCACACCTTAGTCTCCAAACTGACATCGTTGCTCCTCAGTGCCTTGGAGAGGTCTCTGACTTTCCCAATGCAATCCGTCTTTTAATTTCCTGGCTGCTGGTAGGTACCAAGAGTGTTGATTGTATAGCAAGCAGACTGAAACTGTCAACAATCTCAGTCTCTTCACTATCTACCATGATGCTGCCAATGGGCCCAGTGGTGAGAATCTTTGTTTTCTTGACATTGAGCTTCAATCCATATGGAAAGCTGCGATCCTTGACTTTGTGCAGCAAGCGCTTCAGGTCCTCTTCAGTTTCAGCAAGCAGGGTTATGTCATCTACATAATGCAGAATGTTGATGATGAGTCTACCCTCCAATCCTGATGCCACACTTCTCATAGAGCCCAGCCTCCCGGATAATCTGTTCTGCATATAGATCGAAAAGATATGGAGATAGGACACAACCCTGAAGCACACTCTTCCCAATTTTGAACCATGCAGTGTTTCCTTGCTCTGTTCTGACATTTGCCTCCTGGTCCAAGTATAAGTTTCGCATAAACACAATCAGGTGTTCTGAGATTCCCATTCTTCTCAAAGTCAGCCACAGTTTGTTGTAATCACACAGTCAAATGCCTTTACATAGTCAATTAAACACAACAATATAAAAAAAGTTTTACTCAGAAGGGCATGCTTTTGTCTCAAAACAATTTAGACATCCCTGTGTTTGCTGGTAGAAGGCACAGACCACCAGAAGGAGTGGCACTTCTTGATTGAATCAGATCTCTTACCTGTCTGTTTTGGAAATCACCAGTGTGCCTCAGCAAGAGGGAAGCTGTTCAAGTCCAGCCCTATCCCCTGCCAATCACCACCCTTCCAATTGAACTGTAGAATGTAACAGCATCCAGGGCCTGCTTTTGAATTACATCATGGTAAGATGCAGATGATCATGTATGTATTACCTTGAGCTAAAACTGAAGATTTAGACATGTTTGAGCATGTGTGCATCACCATGGTTGAGGCATTCAGGAGGTAACCCCCTTGGCACAGCAGCTGTGGTAAGAGGTTTAACAGCTTCACAGACAGTATACACAAAGTTGGGGGCCAGAATAAGTAAGGAAGAACAGGAAGATGCTTAAAAATAGATTGATTCTTAACTTATTGGGACCTTCAGATACAGCTTGGTTCTTTTACATGAGGGTTGCAATTCCTGTTTAAGCAGATAGGGGCAAGAATCAATGAAATTTAATTCTTTAACTGTAGCTCTGTCTACATCCACAAACTGGTAAGACCTTGAGAAACTTGCAAGTTGACCAAAAAGATGCAAGAGGAGTGTCTGAATCACTAGGAATCTGTGTCTTGTTCTGGGCACTGTTTACAGAGATTTTTATTTAGAGGGTTATGATCTAGAGGACATAAGGAGGTTGATGGGGTAAGAAGGGATGGAGGTAGGTCTTGCCACCCATAGAGCTCACAGTGAGATGCCAATAAATGAGGTAATACTATGTAACACCTCACTTTTGGGATACCAAAAAGTCTTTTAGTGTTAAGAAACAGAGGGACTCCCATACAAGTCACATTATCATAATGCAGTAGACTTGGTGCCAGAAACCTGTGTTTTCTCCAAATGCATATTCTAGTCCCAGAAGACAAGACCTAAGACCTCAGATTATGTAGCCTAGCACTCATCACAGTGTGTCATGTGCCTTCCCCTGC